CCAGAAATCTAAATTTGAATGTGCAAATATTCATCTTGTTGGCAACTAATTTGAGCCATTTTTTTAAATGTTTTGCCAGTCAAACAAAGCACATCTGAAAACACAGTGTAGACAGTGGGCCACAAATTTGCAGCCTCCCCAAACACCAAGCGAGGGTGCCTTCCTAGCACCACACTGACCACTGTTGGGACTGTTCAACAGAACTGGCTCACACTTCTTGGGTTTAGTCTTCAGACTTATTCTATCCTTCCTAGCAAGCATTTAGTGAGCACCTACTATGTACTAGAACCTTCTCTGAACACTCCAAACATGTTGACTCGTTTTATCTTTACAAAACTCTAAGATGTGAGTATATAATACTGCCTCTCATTTTTTTTTTTAAGATTTTATTTATTTATTTGACAGAGAGATCACAAGCAGGCAGAGAGGCAGGCAGAGAGAGAGGAGGAAGCAGGCTCCCTGCTGAGCAGAGAGCCCGATGTGGGGCTCGATCCCAGGACTCCGAGATCATGACCTGAGCCGAAGGCAGCGGCTTAACCCACTGAGCCACCCAGGCGCCCCTACTGCCTCTCATTTTAAAGATAAGGGGTCAGGGACACAGAGAAGTTATACAAATTCCCCGAGGTAACACAGCAAACGTTGGTACCAGGTTCTGAAATCCAAACAATCTATGTTCTTAATGGCTAATCCAGGCTGCCCTATGGAAGAGGCTGCATCTCCATTTCTACTCAGGAAAACTTGCAAGGGACTTGTCTGACTCATGAGTCAATTCAGGTAAGTGAGTGAACAGTCCCCCATCATACTCTACTCCTCGAGTGCTTGGGACCTCAGTCCCTCGAACTAAAGCTGTGGTTCTCAACTGGGGGTGATTTTGCTCCCTGGGGCACATTCTGCAATGTCTGGAGACATTTCGGTTGTCACGAATTATGGGGTGGGGGAAAGGGGTTCCTGCCGGCATCTAGTGATTAGAGGCCAGGGATGCTAGCTAAACCCCCATCACACGGGAGAGACTACCGCAATAAAGAATTAACCCAGCCCCAAAAGCCAACAGTGCTAAGGTTTTGAACACATGGCTCACAGCCGTGCCACATGCAAAAAGCAACCAGCAGAATGTTTCAGGTGATCCAGTCTGTTTATGTTGAACATTATTTTCGCTCTCTCCTCAAATCCTAGTCTTCCTTCTCTTGCCCTGGAATTTTGCCATAATCCCATGTCACTGTGCTCACCTCTGACGATAAGTAATAATGTCCTAACATGACACTTGTTGGTGAGCAGCAGCAGAATGAACTAAGAACAGGCAAAACAAAAATGAGCGTTAAAATACAAAGTGAACCCTCAAATTTCAACCAAACTATCACACGCATGCGTGAAACAAAGTTTCTTTTCCTGAATACCCTAAGCCATCATCATGCTCTGCGCCCGCGTGCAACTCTGATGGCCACGGACACCATCTCTGCTAAACACACACGTGACTGCACCGATTTTATAAAATGATTTTAATAGAAAAGTACAAGGTATGAACAAAAATAAATAATCTTTATCTCATGTCTAGCCCAGCAAATTGTACACTGTATATAAAACTGATCTAAGTGGTAATTTTCCTTGTTTCTTTTCTGCTTTTGAAACACTGAGACAGCATTTGAATGAAATCTTCTATATTCAAATCGATACATTATTTGCATTAAAAAAAAATCATACCAACCTTTAATCATTCTACATCCATTTTTTAAAGTTGGCTAACAAGATGATGTTGCACTAAAATAAAATATCATCCAATCATCAGGTTTAAGTGTAAAGTTTGTGCAAACAGGTAAATTAGAAGATGCATTTCCTAAGTTTTAATTCCTACACTGCCAAATGTTTCCTGTATTAAAAACTTATTTCATCGTCTTCCTTTCAAAACATGACCTCTGGTTTTCCCCATTCCATAGAGAGAAGGGAGGCTAAAAAATACTTTAAAAAAAAATAAATATTTTTAAAGTATACTTTACAGGGATAATGCGGTATCTTTGACCTGTGCCTTGGTGCGTATCTGCATTACATATAGGCTTCAAGTTATAAGTACCTTTTCTATCTTTCTCCATCTATATTATGCACCACTCAGTCTTTGGGGACAGTTTTTGCTAATGACCTCTTGGAGCCAACCACTACCAGCCTCTCATTTGGAGCCCTTATCCTACTACGGTGTCATATTTGATAATTCCAGTGGCTTGAATAACGTTTTTCCAAAAACAAATTGAAAACTGCTATTGGCAAAATCATATGAGAAAAGGGCTTCAGGGAGGCTACTAAACCAGTCTCAGGAGGTCAGCAGCTCAAAGAACCGAGCAGATAAACCGGACTGAAACTTAAAACAGTTTTCCTTTTCCTTGAGCCCATAATTACTATTTTGAACATGACTCTGTTTGCCGCTGCCTATATATAAATTTTTTGTTAATTTCCCTGTATTGGGAAGATCTTGAATGCACTCCAGGATGAGAAGGGAAAATATGCTGATGTTCCTAAGTGAAGTATATGTTTTTGCAATAAAGAACACTGGTCAATATACAACTGAGGAAAAACTGAAACAGATGTGAGTCCTAGAACCACAAGCGTTTGAATTTGCCCAGAAATGCTATTTTAAACACTCTATATGTTGGTCTACTGTTTTTTTGTGGAATAATGCATTCTTGGCATCCTTAAAAGGTTTCAATATGTTACAAGGTTATCCGGAAAGAAAAAAGCAAAGGGCTAACATATCCATCTGTGCGGCGCTGGCCAGATTGCGGGGTACATTTTCAGAAAGCACGAGAACTCCTATTAATTGCACTTAACACAACGAACCTTTAGTCTCCCATGAGTTTCATCCTCTGCAGACTGAGACTTGCTTTTCATAGAACTACTTTCAAAGGCGCTCCGTCCCTAGTAACTTCAAACAGAGAGGTGCAACAGAGGCAGTGGTAAACACAACTTTTGGGTGAAAATAATGGTTACGGATAAAAGCATGTGCCTTCTGCATTCTTCTCCGAGATGTTACAACAGCAACACGCTCTAAAACAATTAAGTTACATGCATAATGCTCAAAGAATGTGAGCGATCCTATAACCAGCTTTAAGCCATCTGCTTGATTTCTCTTCTTTTTTTTTCTTGAGGAACATATATAGGAAAAAGAATTCCCCTTTTGTTCCATTACATATAGAAATCTTTTGAAGCTTCCAAAGTTTGGCTTTGGTAAAACTCTGTACTCTTCTATTATTCTGATGTGTAGTCATTCTAAACTATCCCTCATGGTTTCTCAAAAAAAACTTCCACATGAAGTATCTGAAAGACAATTGAAACCACTTACCAATATACAAGTAACGTTTTATTTTTATATTCTATCTTCCATTTGGCATAAGCCTTTCGATGTTTGTTTTTTAAACCAGTGAAATATACAAATCACGCAAGACAGAAATATGTACATTAAAAGTACAGAATAAAGGCCATAGAAGATATACATAATATCTGAATGACAAGTAGAATATCTTACATTAAATAGTTTCTTTTAAAAACTAGGATTGTTAAACTCAACTCTCTTCATAAACATGAATCACTAAAAAGGAACAAAATCTGGTTTAGCAAATAAAAAAATTACTTCATGGTTTTTGTATAATAAAAACCAAAAAAGTGACATTTTAAACTAATTAGTGCTTTATAATTTCAAGATCTTTTGCTTGCAATTCACTGCAACTGAGGGGACGAGAATATCTTCGTGCAATAAATTAAAGAGCCACAGGTGGCGGAGGTCATTGTGAAGGTCACTGAGCCTAGGAGGGTTGCAGGAGATGGGTGTCTTTCCAAACTTATAAAATAGCATAAGTCTGAAATAAGAACACATTTGATGGCACTTTTAGGAAAGAGGCGTCCTTTGCTTTAAAAAAAGAAAAAAAATTTTTTCTAATTAGCTGTGTATGCCATGAGCTTAATTTTCCTTACGGACTCAAACAGGTGCTATTAGGCACCAGTTTCCACTCTGCAAATTGAACCGCGGCAACACAAACGTGGACAATGCTTCTGAGTTTTGAATCTCTCTTCGTTTCCACATCCATGGCAAATGAATAATGCCCTTTCAGGAAAGTGTACAGAGATGGAGGTTGGAGAGAAGGGGGTGGCGCAAGGCCGATAAAAGGAATTTTCAAACCAACATGCATTTCGCAGTAAGACCTTCTAGATTCCTCAGAAACAAGGCTGTTTTGTGATGCTCCCTCCAGGTGTGATCGATCGCATCAGGGCCGCAGCCCAAGCTCAACCTGGAAAACTTTTGGAAAAATCCCCATTGGATTGCAATGAAGAGTAACAATGCTCTAGATGGAGAAATCACCTCAGAATAAACTGTAAGTCACTGGCTGCACTGAGATATAATTATATTTATATATAGATGTGTGTGTGCATATATATATGTTATGTACAAAAGACTTTTGAGATATCAGGCACCATTAAACCACACCCCCCCTTATAAATGCAACTGTTCAAGTACACTAGGAACAGCCTTAGGGTACACCTGCAGTATAATAGGAAAAGCTGGAGTGGATAGTCGACACACAGGATCACAAGAGTGAAACGCTTGCAACACCTCTGGGAACTCCATTAGCCGTGTAAGGTCATTAAAACCTATAAAACGACTGCTCCTCAAAATAAAAGTTTGAGGGGGAAAAAGTTCCCTAAGTAGCAAACCGTTTCCCTAGTGGAGCTTGTCATGTTTCATTTCCTGTCCCACAATCAAAGGGACCTACTGGAGCTGCCTTTTGGCCAGCATCACATCGCACCAAGTCCAGGAGGAATCAGAGAGGACCTGGGGTTGAGCGGGAGGGCCGATGTCACGGTTTCCCCCTCACGCAGGATTTCCGCTCTGGGGCAGGGCTGATCTGCACCCAGTTCAGTTACCCTGTTGTTTGGGCTGAGAATCTGTGAATGGAATTCGTTTATTATTTTCATCATTATCATTTATTAACCAAGCATCCCTAAGAAAATTACGGTATAGTTTTGTTTTGTTTTTTATATTCAGGCCAACCTCCCCACCTCTCTCCAAACGAAAAGGCTAGTACCCAGAATCATTCGGGGATCCTTTTCCAATCTGATAACCTAATTCCTGTAACAGCGTCAGATCAGGATCTTGATATGGGAGTTTTTAAGGCTTTTAACTTCCGGAGCTTTCCTGCCTGTTCCCCAAGTTTCAGTAGCTGCTGGTACAGAACCCTGTGCAGATTGAACATTTGAGAAAAAGGAGACAAATGATACATCTTGGAGGGATGTGAGATTTTTGCTGTTACTTTTTAAATTACCAGTTTGAAAATGTTTCCAACTGGCAGCCCCTAGGGAAGGGGTGGGTCTCATTTCGTGTTTGTTTCTCTCAAGACCCTTCTGGGTTCCCTAGAGCACTGACAATCCATTTTGGTCACAGAAGCTGAATCATGCATAGAGCTGTACCACCCCCTTCCAGCTGGTTGCTACCTGTCCTATATTTGACCCCACAGTTGAGAAAGAGAAAACATCTTTCCTTTCCCTTCTAGATGTGCACACAACTAAGGGTACTTGTAATCCCCCCTCATCCTATACCATCAAAAGAAGTCTTGTCTTACCTTTCCAAAGATGCACAAAATAAATATTTGTCTTGGTTCCCACCCCCCCATTATTGTCAAATAATAATTATAATATTAATAATAAACCACAGAGTTCTTAAGTGGGAACAGAAAAAAAATGCTTCCGGTTGCAATGCTGGGGGGAGCGGGGGGAATAAAACAATATTAAAGAGAAACCAGAATCACTGTACGTTCTATAAATAAGTGGGTCCGGGAGCAGGGCTGGGTGACGCGCGGGCAGCGGGCACCCGCTATTTGCACACGAACTGGTCCACGATCTCCGTGCACTTCTTGCACTTGACGTAGCAGCACCAGTGGAACTTGCAGTGGCAGCGCTCCGTCTGCACCGTCTTGAACTGGTCGTAGCCGCGGCCGCAGCACATGAGCTCGCAGCCGTCCATGCCCTCCGACGTCTTGTTGCACAGGCGGCCCTGCGTGCCCAGCGAGCCCGTGCTCTCGTTGCGCACGCAGTAGTCGGGGCTGGGGTCGATGTAGACCAGGTCCTGCGTGGTGGGCGAGTTGAAGCGGCTGTTGACCTGCACCAGCTTGCCCCGGCTGTTGAGGCGCATGGCCGCCGCGCTGTCGTACTTCTCCTTCAGGGCGTCGCCCACCTTGCGGAAGTCGGCCAGCTGCAGCCAGCACGTCTTGAGGCTACAGGAGCCCGACACCCCGTGGCACTTGCAGGCCACATCGGCCAGGTTGTACACCGTCTGTGGGGAGAGAGGACAGTCAGCGCACCCACTCGCAGAGGAGCCTGGAGCACAGCGGCGGAGGGGTATGTTCCCAAAGCTCCCCCCGTCATTTTCCGCCGGGGAGCAGTAGCCACCAGCTCCCCCAGGGCCCGGCCTAGTTCCTCCTTCTCCTCCTGCGCTCCCAGAAGGCAGGTGTTGCCTTCTTCTTTTTTTTTTTTTTTAAGATTTTTTATTTCTTCATGTAACAG